GGTTGACATCTGGGCCTGTTTTTCTCCACCTTACAACTTAAACACCTTGTGACCTCACCCCCCAAAATCCCCCCACCCAGCATGCGGGGGGGGGGAATTCTGGGAGTTGGTCCACACGTCTTAAAGTTGCAAGGTTGAGAAACACTGGCCTAGATGTCACCACCGCCTCAACTCCTGAGATTTAGGCCAAATCTTAAGGACTAGGAACACAAGAAGGGTTTTTCACACAGGCATTTTAGAGAAGCTTCTTTTTAGCCAGCGAAGGAAAAACATGTAGCGATCCATTTCTCTGATGATGAGAGTTGTAGTCTGGCATGGTTGGATGGCACCAGGCAGGGCAGAATTTGTGAATTTATAATAGACAAATAAATAGAATTTTTTTCTCTTATCTCCCCCAATTGTCCCCAGCCTGGCATGCCCCAGACATGTTGCATCACACCTCCCTTGGGTCCCAGCCTGCGTGACCAACCAGTGGGGCTGATGGGAGCTGTAGTCCATGTGGGAGAAACCCAGGCTATTCGAGCCTAACCATCCCTGGCTTCCCGTAACTTCACAGAGGGAGAAAGAGAGAGATGCCCGGATATTATAATTGCTCACAATGTTTTACAAAATGGAGGTGCTGAAATTACCCTCCCTTCGTTTGAACGTTGGGTTGCTAAACAGATCATGGGCATCAAATCAGGCATCAATACAAATGCCAACAGACTGGCAAGAAAGAATCGCTCGGTATTTGCTGGTAAGAAAGAGCCGACTGAAAAGACAACGGAAAAACCCTGAGTTCAGTCAAGGACTTTCAAGGTTCTCGGGGCCTTCGAGGTCACCTAGTCCACCCCCCTTCCTGATTGACGAAGGAAGACGAGGGAGTTTCATCCCTTGGGGAAACTGCCTCCATTGTTGACCTGCTTTTCCTATTAAGCCTCCCCCCTCCCAGCAAAAAAATCCTTCACTTCTGTAATTTCAACCCATTTCTAAAGCTCATTCCCCTTCTTTCTTTCTTGCCAAGCAAACCCCAATCACGGCGTGCTCCAAGCTCACCCTTCTTCCCCAAACGTTTCACAGGGCGGGGGACTCCCTCCACTTCTCCGCGGAGAAGCCGAGCGCCCTTTGCACATGCTCAGGGACGCGGGAACCTCGTCTGCCCTTCCACGTTCCCCGGGGCGCCCCCCGGCGGCTAAACTCAGGGGGGGAAGCACCTCCCGCAATTCGGCCTGGATGCCTTCCCCCCACCTCGTTGTCACTGCGGGAAGACCCCCAACGGGGCGGCTTTGCCCACCACCCCGACACCCCCATCCCCGCACCCCATG